AAGGCCGTCACCAAGTACACCAGCTCTAAGTAAGGTGTCGCAGATCGTCAGTTTTAACCCAAAGGCTCTTTTAAGGGCCACCCACTTTTTCAGTAAAAGAGCTGTACAGTCAAATACATAAAAAACTTTAATTCCTTAATGTGAATTCTTAGTTTACAGTCTTTTTTTAAATCCCACTTAAGATTAACTTTGATAAAATACTGTTTTCCAATTTTCTGTGTCAGGGAACATACACTTTATCTGAGCAACAAATGACTTGCTGTAACTAAATTTTTTTGTATTTTCTAGGTGATACTGTTTTCTTAATTTATCGTTCTATTACACTTTTAAGATTGTGGTATGTATATTTCTTGTGCAATACATCACTATTAATTCTAGCTATGTTCATATTATATGCATCGTAAATTGAAGGGGAAAAAAAACGGCTTCTGTAGTTTTCTAGTCGGGAAAGAATCAAAATTATTACTGATGGAAACTTATCTGCGTACATCATTGTAACTGCTATAACAACATCTACCACTTGATGGTGCTCAGTCTTTTTTTCTTTTTTTTTACCAGACTGAGAGGTCTACAGTGCACTGTACTATAAAAGAATTTACGTAGCAACAAATGACATTTATCTTAATAAGCTGTTACCAATAGCCCTATGATTAATAAAACACAGAAGTCCTTTCTAAAATTATTTATCTTCGGCAATTTTTTAATAATTATGTTGCGCATGTGATTTTTACAGTAACTTGCACAGCTTCTCCCTAGGACTGCCTTAGGCAGAGAATATTCCCCTTGTAACTAAAAACACAAAGTGAAGATGAATATTATTTCATACCTACTCGACCTCTCCTGTATTTATATGTCATTAATTGTATTAAAACTATTAAAAACTAAGAAACTAGCTACTGTGGGCTGACTTCTTAAACTTTATCATATAGCAACTAATCAGCCCTAAAGTCTTTCAGCCTCAAACTGCAGGCTGAATCGCTCCATCATGTTCTTGGGTAATTAGACACTGCTGTAGGTGCAGATGCAAGCTATATCACCTTCTTTCAAACTGGATCTGAATAAACCTGAATTCCAAGCGTATTCTGAGGATTTGTGAACACACTTAGTCCATACAGGGACCACAGAATCACAAAAACCAACCTTTCTAAGACTGCCTGCATGTTTTTTGGTAGTACAGGTACAGAGGCAGGCTCCGGGTTTCTCTTAAATCGGCCACCAATTTATGAAATTTAATTTCAGCTTGAAGGCTGATGGGCATTTCTCAGACTGGATTTCAGATATCCAGTTGTAAGAGACATCCTCCATACTCAGTTCTCCAGCAGCTTCAAATGGAGTTTAGAAATCTGCTCTTCAAACGCCTTAGTGCAAACTCTAAAACAGTTTGCGTATTCTGGGCCTCTATATATGTCCACTACCTAAAAAGACAAATAAAACGTAGTATATTCCAGTCTCTAGATTTTTGTGTAAGGGTATGTGTGGGTCACTAGAAAGGGACTCTGGAAAATATCATATACTAAAAGTGCTCAGATTTTGACAGCGGTGGTGATCATTGGAATAATTTGTCAGTGGCTATTATTCTCAATAATCAGTTGCGTAAAAGTCAAAGTTATGTTGTCCTAACTAAAGACCTTAGTTCAAACTGTAGCTATCACAGGGCAGCCCTGTTGCCTGAGATAGTAGAAGCTCAGTCGTGCCTTTTGGCCCCCCAGTTCAGGAATCTATAAGCATTCTTTTTGCCTTTACTGACTTTGTATGCTCCATGCTGCACGCTTCATCAACATAGCTTTCAGAGAAATTTCAGGGTTTTTTTTTTTAAAAAAAAAAGCTGTTTCAGTATGAGAAATTGTTTCTAGGCTCATGAAACTCTTCACTCAACAGAAAAGAAAATGTTGCTTATGATCGCTGCTTCCAATCCCAGTATGAATGGTAAGGCAATATTGGGGGCTATCATGTGAACATAGCATTTCTACCCGCACACACACGTCATCAGATCTGATTCTAACACATCCGATATTTTTCCATCAGTGCTGAGACCAAAGTTTCTGAAATGACAAAAAACAGCTACTGTGGAAAATGTTGTGTACTTGTTCTTGTCACCAGAGGTAAAAGTAGTAGGATTTACGTTCAGCAAAAATAACAAACATAACAATTTCGTCCCACAGGATGATGAGCATTCAAAATTAATAAAGCAAAGACTGTGGATATAAACTCATATGACAGCATATTCTTCCATCTTTCATGTTCTTTAATGTTCTTTCCTATTCAGTTCAAAGCAGTTTTATTTGTATTCTTAAATCCACTCTACCCAGATGACATCACCCAGCAACAGTAAGATGGCACAATGTTCAAATACATCATCCTAGTGTAGCAGGAATTATGCCACCGCCACCTAGACCATGGTAGGAATTATGCGGTTAACATCTCAACAGGGCTCGGGCCTAGGTTCCTGCTTGAAGAAGATGAGTCTCCAGTCTGCTGAGTAAATAAGTGGTTTGTCTATCTGACATGCAGAGCAGCTCAAGCTGGTTGCCTCCAAAGAGGGACCCTTACCCCAGATCGTGCCCCCCAGTTATACCCGGCACCTGATCCCCAAGTCCAATCACTTAATTCTGGTCGGTGGTCTCTTGATTTCTTACTGGTTTTCTTGGTCACTGGGCTGGCTGCCTTCTGAAGTTGCCTCGTTCTCTTGGAATTGTTTCCTTGGTCCTTATCTTCTTCATTCTGCTTGCAGCTGCCAGTTTCAGCTAGTTCTGTGTTTGCAGAACTAGTTTTATCAAAAAGTTTACTCTCAGTCAGCCTTTGCGGCCTAAGGCTTCAACTCCTTTAGCTTCTAGTGCTTGTAGGAGACCAAATGGAAGAACAAACAATCTAACACCAAGGCTAACTTATAATCCCCTGGAACAAAGGACTGTTTGTTCAGAAGGGTGCAGACTACGACAGGAGACAAAACTTGACAAGGGAGCAGGGGGTGGAGATCCCCTGAGCCTGTCCGAGGAATGTCTCAAACACTTGCAAGACGCAAAACCCCTGAAGCAAAACTCTCTGAGCTCAGCCCTGAAACAAAAACTGCCACTGTGGCAGAGGGGCAGTCCATAGTGAACAGCAGACATAAAAGGGGAAAGCAAGTGCCATTGGGTGGGACTTCTGGACGAGCGCTCCTACAGACCAGAGACCCCCCTTTGGCTGGACCAATGCTGGAACCCGGACCGGTGATCTCTCTCCCTCCCCCTCGCCCTCTCTCTTCTTCTCTCTTTCTTTTATTCTTTTACCTTGTTCTAGTAAGTAACGCAGGGCATAAACTCCAACACGCGTGACAAGCAATAAGCATTTCTGCTACCCAATTATTTATCAATGAGCCTCGCTATGGAATAAAAGTCTTTGTTCACCCACGGACCTCAGGTGTTGTGTATACCCTATTCCAACCAAGAGAATCAGTGAATCTGAGTCACCTCTCCCTCCCCCTTGGCGGGACGTGACAGTGCTAAGAAAGGCTGTTAATCCTAACAATTCTCAACACTGGGAAGTGCTAGAATATATAATCTTTAAGCAGGCCCTTTGTGCTGTATTTTTATCTACCCTCCATATCTATCTTCAAAATACCTCTTTATTCACAGCGCCTGAAATATAGGGTATATTTATTTTTGGTTATACAAACATTTTTGTCAAAATACTTTTTTTAGATCAGCAACCTTTTGTATATCAAATTGTCAGAGTTACATTACAGTTTACTCCTGTAATGAATAACCTACCATAAAGAATACTGAAGAACAATCCAAACAGCTACAAAAATTTCCCCATCTTATTTTTAATAGAATAATAAAGTTAGTAGCATTCTTGGAAAGACTTATATCTTCTTTAGATCAGGATACCTACAGTAAAATTTATATTTATTAATAATCATGTTTAAAAAAAAAAGTGGTTTTATTTCCGCAAAAGTGAAATACACGAGCTAGGTAAACAAATAACTGTATTCTCTAGTTAACTGATTGGACAGTGAATCAGAAATGAGAAATAGATGCCATACACCTGATCCAAAACCTGAACAAATCACACACTGGCTATAGCACTTTTATACTTCCTGCTCTTTTTTTTAATGGAGTAAATCAATATCTGCTCACCTACTTATGAAATCAAATTGGTTTTCCTAATGGCCGGAGATTATAATTACTCAACACACAAGGCAAATTATTGCTATGTTAGTTTCGCAGAGACTTTCTTTTCCAGTTTTAACAGAAAAGAATATATTTCAAAATAATTAGCATTGAGGGAGAAAATATTAACTGCAGGTAGGGAAAAAGATTTCTTCGTATATACACCTTGATGTAATGCTTTTGGCCAGTAATGAAAATGTGCCTGGTTCAGATTTTAAAGGAAAAACTTGAGTCCTTGGGCTCCAAAAACCTGGTCTCGGGGTTGTGCTGTATCAGAGCACAGCGCAGCTCAAGACATGACACAAATCTCACTGGAGAAGAGGGCTGGAAGTAGAGGGGAATGCAGCTGGGAACACCCCTGCTCCCTTCCCAGCTCACATACCTACAAGGAAGGAAGAAGCATTACAATGAGCACGGGCAGCTCTTGCCTTGGGGACTGGGGTCACAGAACCAGGGGCCTGTGTAGTTGGAAAGGGTTTTTTAGGTTTTGGTTTGGGTTTCTTTGGTGGCTGCGAAGACCTAAATTATTTGACGGCCCGTCCTGATGGAGAGGTTGTTCCAAAAGCATTCCTTGTCAAAAATTATACTGTGTTAATCACAAAGGTTCTGCTATTCATTTTTTAACACAGAATAGCTTAGGAAGCAATTCTGGACATACTTACATTTTTAAACTAGAAAATAAGTAGTTTGTGTGTGAAAGGAGTATCAGGACAGCTTGGAATTTTCATCACCAGTAAAATCCACAACCTTTTTGTACTTGTAGTCCTATTTGCATTGCATGTAGATTTTGTGCTTGAAAGGGTCATAGGAAAAT